AATAAGTCTAGACAATGTTAAAAACCCTAAAAATATGTATAATGCAAATGAATTGTTTAACAATGTACTAATGGATCTAAATAATAGCTATTTTGGATGGCATAAAATATACACAGATGGATCAAAAACCAATAAAAGTCTAGGAGCGGCCTTCTACGATCATAAACAAAATTATAAAGCTAGTTTTAAAATAGAGGTTGAAGTGACAATCATGACGCTGGAACTCATAGCAATTAGTCAAGCTCTAAACTATGCATTGGAACAAAATTTAAGGAAAGTAGTAATATTAACTGATAGTAAAAGTGCTTTACAGCATCTGGCTCGATGCGTCTCTGGAACAAGAGGTGTATCGATAGCCTATAAAATTCTAGAAGTCATCAATATATTTAATAAAAATAGTGCAGAGCTAAGGTTGCAATGGATTCCAGCTCATATTGGCTTAAAAGGTAATGAGGAGGCTATGTAAATATGCATCAAAAGATGGAAAAGTTATTAATTTCTTACCTGACTATTTCGAATATTTACCAAAATTTAAACACCTATGCTATAATAAATGGAAAAACCATTTTAATAAAAAAAGTAAGGACAAAGGTATCTGGTATAAGACATTACAACCTGAGCCTACTCGAATACCTTGGTTTGAATATAACGAGTTAAGCAGATCCTACATAAAACTAGCCCTTAGACTGCGATCCGGGCACTTTCCTTCGGCGAAGTTTGCGTACCTTATGAAAAAAACAGACTCACCAAACTGTAATATCTGCAATGTCATTGAGGATGTACAGCATTTGTTGATGGAATGTGCCAAAAACAAAAATGAAAGAGAGTTACTGCTGACGGAATTTGGACTTAATACTCTCGATATTGGCTTAGTGCAAGGTATACTAGCAAATCCCATAAAGGATGTAGCTAAGAAATTGTGTAGATTGGCTATAACCACAGAACATAGAGAGAGAATAGAAGTAGTAAGTGGGCGTGGCAAGCGTCGCTGGCATATGCGCTTTTACTCATATGACGCCCTTTCCTCGGTTTTATATTTGTCAGTCGTTCGTCAATCGTCGAGTGGTGATTTTACTGATTTTTTCTATAAAAAATACCGTTTTGTACTATTATCACTTGCAAAAAGCAAAACAAAGTATACAATCAAACTAATGCAAACATTTCCTTTCACTGGTAAGTACAATTTTAGTGCTAAAATATAAAAAACGTAATAATTTGACACAATTTCAAATAAAATATACATTGTTTGCTCAAACCAACATTAATGTTTCTAACCCCGTTTCTAGACAGCAATGTAAATCATATTGTGCACTTTTGCAAAAAATAGTGCTGTGCCTCCTGAAAATAAAAGATGAATTGATACTGAACAGATGAAATAATGAACTATTCAGGCACTTTTTTACGAAGATTCGGTTAATTATTTACACGCAGATAAATATTAAAAAATACTGATGTGCTATAAATATCTAAGTTACAAAGTATATCAACGGTTTATGAACAATATATAAATCAAACGAAACTTCGTGAAAAGCTACGAGTGTTGGCCTAATAGGTCTTATTAGAAACTGGTGAAACTGGATTTCACTTATTTTGCATTACTTATATTTCAGTTTCCCTAATAACTTTACAACGGAATGCCCTGTTTACATAATTTATTTTGTCCTATCCGTTTTAGACCTAAACCTATCAAATGAATTTCAAAACAACATATTATCTATACAAACAAAAAATCATGTTTTCAACTAACGTAATATTGTTGGTGGTGTGAATTTAATTTACAAAATTAATTTATAGGCGTCAATTTAATTTACTTTATTATGCTGATTCATAATCGGAAACCATTATTATAGAAATCGAGTTAAGATAGCCACTTTAAAGAACCGCCCACAGAACAGCTTTTATCAGTTTTTTTGTTGCTTCATATTTGCACATAAGTTTATAAACGCATGTCTCAAACGGATGTGAGTTTATATGTAGATTGATGTTTGTACGTACTTATCGCTTTTGTGTCTGTCTTCAAACTTTTTTGTCACGGTTTTCAAACTCATACTTGACCAGCGATTTCTTATTGTCCAGTCGTTGCAATTAAAAATGTAGGTACTATTATTATTACAGTTATAAAACTTAGAATAATAAAGTAAAACAAACATGGCTATGATCAATTTATTATTGTAATGATCATATTAGTTATTATGAATCGCTTTTGAAGCGTCCAAAAATTTTTTTTCCCCTACCACTTGTTCAGGACGTCTTTTAGCTGACAAGAAGAACAAGCGAAAGAAACTTACCAGCCCTATGATATTTACATAAATCATGTAATTTCATATCTTATCACAATAATAAATACAACTTTCAAAGTCTGTAGGAAATAGGTTGAACATATAATTAGTCTTTATAGAACAAAGCGATGGCTATTCATTCCATGCATTGCGATTCTTAAAATAATCATCAACTTTATAATAGCCTTTACTCATAAGTATGTTCATTACATGAATTTTAAATCTATTTATGGGTAGGTCAACTACATTTTGTGGAACTTTATTGAACATAGCAATGTAAATGCATTGATCCTCTGGTTTTCTGAAGTCTGAAGCTTGGAACGGCAAGTTTATTTTTATTTCTTGTGTTATGATTATGAACACTACTTTTTTTTTGTGAAGGAATCATAATGTTTTCTTGCGTAGATAATATTTTCATTGATGTATTGAGAGGCAACAGTCAAAATATTTATTTCTTTAAATATTTCTCTGAGAGATTCTCTAGACCGTAAATTTTATATAGCATGGACAGCTCTCTTTTGTAGAATAAAAATATCTTGAATGCTAGCCGCAGAACCCCACAACAATAGATTATACGTCATTACACTATGAAAATAACTAAAATATACTAATCCTGCCGTTTCAACATTTGTCGAGAGTCAAATGCTGCAGAACTCAGTCTACTTGACAAATTATCAATATGAGGATCCCATTTCAGTCGGGAATCTAGTGTAATACCAAGGAACTTTGTCGATTTCACCAACTCAACTTTTTCACTATTTACATTTATAAGTGTATTAATATGCCTCACATTAGGTAATGCAAGCTTTATGGATTTCATTTTATTTGAATTAAGCTTTAAATAATTACTATCAAACCACTGTAGAACATTGTCGAACTGAATTACATTTTACTGTTTCATAACAAAATTTAAACCTCTTATTTCATCAACTAATATTATGTCACATCACTAATATGCACAATCGGAATGATACCAGTAAGAAAAAATTACAAATTAGGCTTAATGTAATAAATACAAAAATTCTGTTGGTTTCTTAATTTTTGTTTTTTTTTTTACACTTTCCTTCGCTTAATTATATTACTCCACAGACATATGATAGAGTTTATCATTAAGTTTTCTTAGTTTTTGTACTGCGTTTTTTAAAAGAAGTTATATAGGGAAAAGCGTTATTTTTTAATATTCACTTGGTTACAGCAAAATCTAATCTTAATAGTTCGCACATAAAATGATGTCCCCAATTTTTTAAAATGTGCATAATCTAAAAATATTTTTTCCCTTCTGGTATCCCCGTATACAGCCACGTGACAGTTCAACATTCATGTTAAAGTAGATTATTTATTATCACGTTGAATTAGAGTTTGTTTTTAATCGTGTGATTTCTTAGCTTAGTATCTTTTTGGGATTCTGTTTATGTTATCACGAACGAATCGCGTGGCAGTTTTTCATGTAGTGAACAAAATGATCATTTCATCTAATCTGTATTTGTGTGCGGAGAGGCGACACTCGGTTCCCATACTAAATCAATATCATTATACTTCTATTCTCTCTCTATGTTCTGTGGGCTATAACCAATAACCGCAACTATTAGACGATCAGTCAATATTGTGTCCATATATACATTTTTAGTATTGTTTAAGACTCTATATTTTTGTCATTTAAACCTATATTTTAATGTTATTATAAGTTTTGTGAAACTAATGTAAAAGGTACGATGGGGTTGACATATCCATATGGATAAAAACCCCAAATAAAATTCAAGAAATAAAAAAAAAAAAAAAAAAAATATAATAATCACTACTTCTCGAAGGCTACAGATATTCACTATATAATAATAATAATAAATTGTCCTTAAAACTATTTCATCTTGCTTGATTGTATATACCTATAACTTTGTCATTAAAATTTGATTATTCAACTAGATTTCATACAAAATTTGGCACAAAAAATATATTTTAGATAAAATAAAAAAAGGTAAATTAATATGAAAAATTCTTTAAAATGACACTTTTACATAACTGATAAATATAAAAATATGTAATTTACATCATGAACATGAGGACATACTTTTCTATCTACTCATAGGGGAGAGGGGGCACATTAGAACACTTTTTAAGTAAAATATAATATTTCTTGTATGGTATTACTAATCAAGATTTAATTTATTTTAATATTAGATATGGGGCTTATACTACATAACAAAAATGATAATGGCACATTTGAAATGCATTGGGGCAGTTTTGAAAAACCATGATAAAATGAAAACCATGTTACGAAGAATATAATCAACAGTATATTTATGTTATTTGTATCTAATACTATCATAGTACACTTTCATTTATTTCTTAAAATAAATTTTAATTGCATAAACTATATAAAACTCAGAACCACCTGGGGCAGTCTTGAACAAGAGTAACAAACTTATAGTTACAACCGAGACCAAATAAGATACTGCGAAACAATAGTAAAAAGTAATAACGTTCATAAGTATCTCAAAAAATACAACATTTCAAAAAGCCTTAGGAAGGAATTTAAAACATGTTAAATATAAAATAAACAAACTAAATAACCTTAATGGCTATAAAAAAATAATTATGAAAAAAGAAACAAAATTTATTAAAGCTTGTTGAGCGAGAAAGGCTGGTATTTTTAGGTTTTCGCAAAGATAATACTGAGTGCCTTTTTTCATAAAGTTTTTCATCCATTCAATACCCGCAATCTTGTTATTTATCCACTTTACAATACGTAAGACTATAATTCATTTTAGACATTTTTAGAAAGTACTTTTCCAGCATGCTCTCTTCATCGTTTGTGAAAACTTGATGCACAGTGTGTTTGCTACAATATTTTTCATTTTTAGGACTTAAATTCTCCTCATATTTTTTGACTCTATAAAATAAAATAGATGGTTTTATGTAGTATATTGCAGCAGCGGTCCTCAGCTTCATGCCGTCGTTGATAACACACAAAACAGCTCGTTGTGCATCTTCTTCGTCATTTTCTTTTTTCTTTTTATAATTTCGTGTCATTATGACTGTAAATACAATACAATATTAAACCACTTAGGTACTTAATTTTCATAAAATAAATACCCATGTTTTATTTATGTGCACTGTTGAACATTTTATTCAAAAGCAATTTGACCACTTTTGAAAATTTTTGTTCAAAAGTGCCCCAGTGATTTTTTTCAAATCTGCCCCAATACCGACCTTCAGAAATAAATATTCATAGACGAAAAACTAACTTGTGTTTAATGATCTTATATTTGTAAATACTGAGTCCATAATATATGCAACACTACAATATAATCACAACTCGAAAATAATACTTACTTTTTCAGAAATTTGCTTACAAGCAAAAAAAAATTTGTTTATTTTCTTCTTCGTAAAATAACCGGCAATATTTTTATAAAATGACACTGACATTGACGTTAGTTGGGACCTGACAGCTGTGTAGTTTGGTATTATCAGAATTAAAAAGGTTAAGTAGGTTAGAAAAGATGAAGAATGCATTCATAAATCGATTGTTTCAAAACTGCCCCTGTTCTAAACTGCCTCCCTCTCCCCTACTCCTATTTGGTGAAGCTACAGCTTAGTAATTTTGTTCTTGTTTCCAACTCACTCGAGGAAATCTAAAAATTTTTTTATCACTATTTTTGCTATTGTTCTTGCAGCCAACTACACAGCAGGTATCGTGACGCATTTTATTAATTTTTACTTAAAATGCACAAATATCTAAATTTCATAAGTAAAAAGTGACATTTCGTCCGACAGAGTTTTCCGTTTTAGCCACGGTGCGCGCTGCGATCGATTCGTGTTCTCCTACTTCGCACCCATGGATGGCGTTAAATACCTATATTTTACATAGCACTGTTTTGGTAAAGGTCGAGTTTTCAAAAATAAATGGAAATAGAACTTTTAGCTTTAGCTCTAATTACAATTACTAGTTGAAGTTTATTCTAAACTGCACTATCATTTGCTTCTAAGAATTTTGCGTATATTTCAGTTTTCGAATAAGTTTTGTGTCAACTTTGAATAGGAAGAATGGGCCGTAAGGATAGTAAGTTTTTGGTGGCCCATCCTATGATCGGCCATTGGGAAAGTTGCTTAATAAACGTATCGCAGACCAAACGCGATTACCACTGCGCCATTGAGCTCCTTACGATATATTTATTACTTTATAATCTCAATGGCTACAATTATCCGCCAAAATCATAATAACATTATTTAAAAATGTATGCATTAAAAAAGCAAAATCAATATCTTGTCTCGGTTGGAAAAAGTGTTCGACCCAGGCCTTTTGCCGCCCCGGGCCTGTTTTCGAGTCATGTCGGAGGTTTCTGGTTGGATTCTTGAAAATGAACTTTTCTATACTGACTATAATGAACAACGTCTTCGTATTTTATATGAAAAATATTACATAATTTTTAGAAAGCTACTATAATTAAATTTAAAGAAAAAATAATAATTATTTTAACGCTGCGGTCTTTGATTTTATATATTGCACGTTGAGAATGACAATGTTACTAACCAAAAACGACGTATTTTTTACTTTTGACAACATTTTTATTTGTTAAGTATAAACTTTAAAATGAAAAGTGAGTTTCAACCATTTATTAAAGTGTCGTGTCGTGATAGAAAATTTATTTCGCTCATTGATACTGGTGCGTCATTTTCGGTCATTTCGGATCGTGCCGCGTATGAACTCCGTCACGATATTGTGCCATGTGATATGTCACTTCGGGCAGTGAATAATGTGAATCTCGAAGTAATCGGTAAAGTCAATTTGAAGATTATTATTGAACATGTCTTGTTCATTCATGATTTTTATGTTGTTAAGAATATTGATCGAGACATTATAATAGGACAAGATTTTCTATTCTCTCATAATGTTGTCATAGATTTTAGAAGGCATCAGTTATATGTCAAACACATTGTATGTCAATTTTTGACAAAGTCTGAATTGATAAAAGATAATAATGTTGTCGATGTCTCTAATAATTATTTATATTCTTATAAAGAAAATGATAAATATTTGCATGAGTCACGTGTAGTGAATGCAAATAAAGAAAATCCTAATATCAATATTTCTCTTAAGTCAAAGGAGAATAATAATAATAAAAATTTAGTTATAAGAGAGAAGTCTTCTTTAAAGAGAGAAAATACAAATAATAAGAATTTTGTTCATAGAAAACTTCATGAACAACATAAGATCTTTAGAAAAACGTTAATTTTCTATAATAGCAATTTAGATCGAAATGTGAAATCATCACATGATACTAGAAATAGAAATGTCAATTTTTATTATATCAGTAGTAGACAAAATATTTTTAATTCGTATTCTTTTTAGAAAACTTTTCATAATAGAAAAGATAGGATAAATTTCTTAAATTGTCGTAAGAAAAAGACTGATCTCATTAAGGTTAGGTTGAATAGGTTGAATGTAGACAAATATAAAGATAGATTTCCTTATCAGATAATACGACCAATTGATAATAATAATGTTATAATAAGAAGGTTAGGAAGTTATAGGATAAAGGTAGTCCATGCTAATAGAATTAAACCATTTAGAATTCGAGGAAGTAGGTATTAGGTTAATGTATTTTCATGATTATAATAATAATTCTTATTTGTTATTATAAGTTAGGTAATAGATATTTAAAGTAATATGAATTTTTAAGTTTTCTTAGTCATATAATGATAATATTGTAATTTTAATTTATTTTCTTTTATTTAGGAACTATGACAGGTTCGATTCCTTGTTCAAGTTTAGTTGATAGTGAGCTAATTTCGAATAATAATATTAATCCAATATGTGTTTAATATATATTGTCATGTGAAATAGTTGTTTAATTATTGTTTATTTATTGTAAAAATTTTAAGGATGTTTGTTAATACTGTTTAATTGTTTCATGTTCATACTTCATCTGCCGGATTCCCGTAAGAGCATGATGAAGCTGGCGCGTATCCTGACGTCAGCAATACGGAGGGCCTACTATGAAGCATCTCTGTTGATAAGTCGACAGACACCCACTTCGTGTGCGCGTCGTCATTATTATTGTATCGCGCGTAGTGTTTATACATAGGCATTGCGAGGGTCGGGGAACCCATCTGGTTCCATAGGAATTGGGTTTCGTCTTGTTTGATGCTGGACGTCCTTAGGCTCCATATGTCAGTTTGTTGTCTCATGGGTGTCAATGATTTATCATGGATGCTTATAAGATATACACATTGTCATTGGCCATATCCGTTTGTTTATTATTTTGGGTTGGATATTAACTATAATTGATTCGATTTTGATTGATTTTAGCTACGGGAATCGGGAATATCATATGATAGCTGTATTTAAAATAAAGTTTGTCGTGTTTGGGTTTTGACGTCATCCAATATCAAACTTAGGGTTTTGATGATTGTAGTCATTTGGGAGACGTACAGGTGCTTTTATTGAGGTTTTGCACTTGTAGAGTTTCTGCAATGTGAAGAATTCCTTAAGAAGTCTGAACAATAATGTAGTAAATTGGAATTTCATTGCAGGAGCTGGTTTATTAGTAAAAACCGCCTCCTCTAAGTTCCTCAAGCAGGTAGGACTTAGGGTTTAGACTTCTGTAAAAATTATTCGAGCGTCTTCACACGCTCTAATAATTTTTTTTAGGGAGCCCGGGCATGTAACGTCCGAGTACATTACTATAGGTAGGGTTTACTCTTCGGACGGTTTATGGTCAAGTGCTGGCCGTTAATATTTAAATTATTACTTTTTCATATTCGAATTCGCGTGTTCGTATTTTGCTGGTGAATAGTCTTTTTTTTCTGATGGAGACCAGCTTAGGGTGAGCATCGTAGTATAATTATTGTAAGTGATTAAATGTAATTCTTATTAGAAATAAATCAAGACTAAGGAGTGCTACCAGTTTTTTCATTGCGCCACCCACCTCCACCATTAGACTAAGTTGCCAGAAGTCGCCACAGTATGTAATCAATGGCTGTGATTGTACACGTGACTGTTCGTCAGATTACCATAATATGTCAATTTACTCCAGTTGCTTTTAAATTTTGCCCATAAAATATTACAGGTTAAGCTGTTGACTGTAGAAGTACACGAGAATGATCGTTGAAAGAAAACACTCATATGGAAATAATTTCTTTTTATTGCTCCACAAGGTACTTACAAGCATTTTAAGTTCATAACACCGTCCGTCAACCACACGTTACGAATATGTGTGTGTATAACAGAACATTTTTAATTTTATAGGTGATATATAGATAATCTTAAACTCCTAATCTATCAGGTACAATATCATACATCTGCTTTTTTCTTTTTTCATATCTATATATGAAGAGCAGATTTTAAAACATTTTTGTTTCTGAAAGAATCTAAATGTAACGATGCTAAGGAATGCTTTTATCGATTAAGCAGTTAATTAGAATAGCAAACGAAATTAATTCTGATATAAACACACAGGTCATAACGAAATTGGCTAATGAAAACTATTGCTTAAAGTCGCAAAAGAAATTTAGTATAACCAACCTTCCATAAAGAAAGGCTATTCATTTAAAACTACAAATTTAGACAGAAATAATTAAAATAAACAAAGTAAGTGACTTAATTAATGTGCCAGCTATGATATTTATTACTAGGAACCTATGCCCCTTCAACATTATTCGACCTATCTGTATTCGAACTTTTTGTGAGATTAATGGGGGAGTGGCTAAAAAATCTTTGTTTAATCTATTTATTTACTTATTGAATCTTTTATGTGTGAGTTAACGAGTTAAAAAGGTATTTGAGAACCATGTACCTATATAGGTACCTACTTTAATAATTTCATTTACCTATATTGGTGCCTGTCTAACATTTTGCTTTCCTGCGTAATTTTTTTCGAAACTATTATATCTTGTCAGTAAACTGTTTATGTATAATGTTGAAAGTAATTATCATTTACAATATATGTATTAAATAAATATGTTTTACAGGAATATCTACAATCCTAGATAGTCCTGTAAAACATATCAAGTGAGTTTAAAAGGTACTATGAATTAATTTTGATTTAAAATATTTACTACGATCATTAATACATTCGACATTTTAACTTAACTAGTTGGCACAAGGCATAACAACCTCACTGATAAGGGAAAAGTACCTTAAGCAAACCTTAAAAATATGAACATCGTTGTGTGTTATTAATAAATAGATATTGTTTTTTTTTTTTAATTTTGATGAGTGAAATTTTTAAAGGAGTTTTCAATTCTTTTCATTGACTTTTTAATGATATCGTCAATATTATTGCGGATGCAAAGTTCACAGTGACCTAGACCTATTATAACGCGAGTTGATACTGGCACGTTGCTGTGTCATTTACGTCACTTATGTAGAAAACAAGAAAATAATTACGTAGTGAGCATGAAAGAAGAAATTATTGAAGTTTGAAATATAAACAATTGATTAAATTTGCAATACATAATTATATTTGTATGAATACATAACAATTCACATGACTCAACATTTCAATTGTCAGCAGTATATATTCTAAATAAATTAATCTATGGAAATGCATTGGATACGATACAGTGGCATACAATAACAGAGGGAATTAGTAATTCATCTCTGAAGTTAGGTACTACTTGCTAGGATCAAATGTTAGAACTTTTAACGTTGCTGCCTCATTATGCCACTCACACATAAAATAATTGTATCTTGAAATATGCTGGCTAACTTCAGAGCTGAGACAAGTATTATAAACATTTACATATTGCATCTCCTGTATATGGATACCGAAATTTTGGGGGGAAAGATGTGTGCAAATTTTGCGACATTTACAACAATATGTTTTCATAAAGGATTTAATTGTTAACAAACATACATTGAGATCACAGAGTATGTGTTGTACCTACCCTGGTAAATCTAAAACACCAGCACGCAACTAATCATGTCTCAATACCTATTGATTGGCGTTTTTTGTTAACGTATTTTCGTGTAGGTACATATAACTCGTCGTTAAATTACATCGATAGAAAAAGAGGTTAAAATAATATACAAATCAAAGATTGTTAAGATTTCGAGACGACGCTGTTGCGTGGAATATGGGTTGTCATCCGCTCGAATTTTGTGTGCGGTGTTGTTATGACTGCGGTTTCTCGACAAAATTCGTAGTCTTTGATTACCTTATACTCCATATTTTTAAAATTAACAGATGACAACCCAATAAAAAATAACAAAACGATACATCACTGCACCTTTAGTTAAAATATGCATACAATTGTGACATTTTGTATCTGGTTAATCTCATTGCATTATGTGAGCGACTATTTCAAGTGTATACATATTGTACAACCGGTTGTACAGTAGGTAACTTAAATAAATTACCAAGATCTTTTTGTTCAAAGGCGAAATATCTCGATACGTTTTGTTATGGCGCAGTGATATTTTTTCTGTCAACCATTGATAACTCATTCTCGGTCCCTATTCTAAAAGTTTTTTAAACATAACTATTTACATTGTTCTCTCACTGTCTTTTTAGCTACGATATTTCAAAATACGAATAGTTCATAAAAATATATATGTTAATAATAAAAAAAAACAACCCTTAGAGCGTGTTGTTACCGTTTGTGAAAAGAAAGCTAAATTCATTTATTAGGTATTCTTTTAGCACCATATTATGTTTTAAAGTAGACAATGAGAGATATGATGCATCGTGAAACTTTCCCACCAATACCTTTTATATATACAAATAATAAATATTTTTTTTTATAGCCTAAGCTAGTAATTAAAGCGTTATTTTAGTTACAATGGCTAAGCCATCAATTTAACGATTGCAAACAAAAAGAAATCCAAATAATAATTAAAGTTAGACATTATTTAAACAAGAAAACAGAACCTAGTTACCGATAATTTACTAAAAATACAATTAATTAAACACTAAGTTAGCTTAGCTGAAAACATCATAGCACCAAAATACGTATATAAAAAAACAGTGCTGATAGAAAAGTTTCAGAATAATATTATTTTTAAATAACATATAACTTAATAATTATATAAAGACATACAGGTCATGTCTAATGCTAGACTACATAATAAAAAACCCTCTACTGCATGTGATAGTTTTTACAACTTCCGCATTTTGTAGGTACCTATTCGAATAATATATATTATAATTAAAGTAAATGGTAATTTTATTTCTCAAAAAGTCTCTGACTAGAGATTATAGTCTAACCTACAACTTAAAACTTATAACAACGTCCTAACTACCGATGTAACATAGCACTCTTTGAAAGGGAAATAATAAATTTATCTATCAATTTGAGCTTTGCCAAAATATCGAACAAATAACACACAATAGTGAAATCACATTTCACACAAGTTTCACAATTTTATTGCGCTTTTAGCCCCCGGTCGAGCCGAGCACCGAAATCCAAATAACAATTTGCTCTACACAACAACTTTTTATTGAAAGCCTTTAGGTAGGTTACTACATTACGCATTTCAGAGGCTGGTCTTACTTTACATAGCGTCGATGTGCATGCAAAATACTCTTTTCTTCATATTTTCGGAAATTTTGATTTTATAAGCGTTTATTTCAATTTCCAAGGGATGCAAATCAATAATCAAAAAATATTTTTAACATGTATTTAATCCAAAATCCTATTATGTCAATCAGTCAGATAATAGAAAAATATTAAATATGCATTTTTTTCTCATTAATTAAACAAATAATGGATTAGATAATAGGCATTAAAGTTGAAGAGTGGGGGCTCGCTACGTCACAGTTTTGTAGAAAATGCTCAAAGGCATGACGATTATGCAACAAATAAAAAATTCAAAAATAATATTCTTCAACAATCTGTCGGACAGACAAATAAAAATTAGTCATAATCCATATGCAACTGAACAGTTTTCGTCCCTCTTAAAAAGTAAGGTTTTTCAACGTGGGATATTGCATGCGCAACAACGCTATATGGTTAATATATTATGTAGATGTGATCGTAATATTAAAGCATGCTGCTGACTACGACCAGGGGAACTACCATGAGCTCTTAAATGCGATACAAACTCCGGTCACTTTAACCATTACAATTGGATCGCGGCAAAAGGTTCATGGTAATGTCACAAATCATCTACTCATTTAGATACACGCCTAATATTATTCTATAAGATATAATACCACATGTTTAGGATATTGTAAAACCAGCCTTAAGAAGCACTAAGGACTTTTTTTAATAATTCCATGAATGTAATATGGATAATTCCATTAATGTAACACTTTATTTTCAATAAAAAGTGCTACAACAATATTGGTTCTTATGCCATAGTTTGCTATGAGAATCACACGAAATCACAACGATTGTGCCTACTAGGCACGCTACCTTTACTTTATAAACAAAACTTGTTCAGTCAAAATCTACGCAATAAACAAAAATGCACAATTACTGGCAAAGGAAAACCATAAGATGGTCTTCTGACAGCGTTAAATAATTATTGATATAATATTATAATAAGCATAAATTACTTAAACTCGTAGTTAACAAATTACAATCGAATGCGATACGAAAAATATAAACGAAATTAAAAACCACATTTATTCATGAACAAACCGTTTGTGAAATGGTAAAAACTTTATTTATAAGTTAGAACTTTTAAAAGTAGAGCTCATAAAGTAGAGCTTTTAAAGATTACTAAAAATGTAGAGAGTATACTAGCTGCAACAAAAATCATGTATGTATTCATTATAAATAAATATGGGTTTTAGAACTGCCAACAATTTCGTAAACCTGTAAACAAATTGTCTAAATTTAAAATCAATCGCAATCTCTTTCAAAGGCATTACGATTGTAATAGACTATTTCAATAAACGTTAATTAAATATCTAGAAAGATATTAATTGTAGAATTAAAAAAATGTCACGACCGTAATCACTTTCACATGTCAAATTGTTGTAGTCAAATTAAAAGGGATTTTAAAATTAGACCCCTGAACAAGACTGACAAATCTAAGTCTTATTAAATTTACAATTACGTAACTTAACAACAATTTATCGTTTAATTTTTAGAACGAACGATCAATTAATAAATATGACGGCAGTGTATTTTTCCAAAATGTTCTTAGGTGTTTAAAATTGCACAGTCTAGTTCTAGTTCACGCCGAAAGTAATGATTTGATTTTAAAACGCGCCATATTCTGTGAGTAGGGCCTCTATTCTGCTGTAATGGCTACCTAACGAAATAATGGTATCTCAATGGCGTTTCAATGAAGTAATTATTTCTGTATAGTTTTACATGTTGACTATGTACAGTGCATTTTAAAATTATATTATATTATATATAGGACAGGGTTCGAAGATTTTTCAGTATAAGTATCAATTTTTTTTCAATAAGTATATTGATATACAATAATGTGGAAAACAGTACAACCCGATTGCATATAATTATAGAGTAATAAATTAATTTTAGCCAAAGACTGAATATACAATATTTGGATATTGTTATAAGTAATATACAACTTGATTAATCGATGCTTATGAAGATATTTTATTATATATGTTATTATACTTTTGAAGAGATCTGTATTAAAAAAGAGGTCATTAAAACGCCATTGACACGCCATAACCCAAGAACATAATCGAGGTCCAACGCACTAGTTATTTGAATTTGACGTTGACTTCATCATTCACTAAACGTTTACAATTTTGGATGACTTGTTTACCGAATAACTTATTTTTAATAAAAAATATTATATTTTATTCTTACATAATATTCGTCGTCTCGACCGACCGACGATGAAGTTGGATTTAAATCAAATGAAAACGTATCGTCTTCAGGCAGTGGCGAAATACAATTGCACAATCGAAGTTATTGCTTCAAAAATCTAAAATAACGGCTTACAAGTCTTAATTTAGCCAAATATATATTTTGTTTTTATTTACAATGAGGTAGAACGTGGGATTATCCCCTTAATTTTATTATTAATTTTAGCCGATACAGTTTATATAACATGTAGAAAGACTGCTGTTTTAATTAAATGTATTTTTAGTTCTTACATATGTTTGAGGTCTCAGTAACCGATAAATCATGAAAGACTTAATAAAACAGTTTTTTTAATAGTCACATACAATACAACCAGTAGAAATTCATATACAATATTACTTTTTTTCCGACATATGTGATTGTAGACATTAGGAAGTAGGTAATTTATAACAATAATTTATATTATAAAGGATTTATTTCAATGTTATGTAAATAAGAATCGTTTGACAACCTCTAAAGTCTTTAATTATGTAAGTATCAAATATTTATGTGTGATTTCAAGTATTAGTTTTTGGTATGGATATGAGGTTTATACAGAGTTATTAGGCTCAATAATATTAGACTTAATGATATAAATATGTGGTGGCTGTTAGAGAAACGAATTTAAACATATTGACTATGTACAGTGAAGTAGTGATAAAATTATAAATCATCAAGATCTATCTGTAAATAGGTATGTACAATACGCAAATAAAAAAAACTTAAAGATAACCCTGTATAAATTATGCTTATTAAGTATTGTAAAAATGTAAAACCATTTCGTTATGTATATTATTGTGAGTATTTTGTTATTATTGAAAAAGCACAGACTGAGGTTACGAAAAGGTAACAGAGGTACCTCCAGAATGGCACACATTAAGAGACTACGCGAAACTGTATATGTAAAAAACAATAACAGTTTCATTAAGAACTGTACTTGATATGATTATGTACATTGTGTCTGCATCAGGCTACTGTACATATTGTGACCAAATTGATGTCGGACTGAAGTCACCGTTATGCACCATCGTACCTACAGGTGTTACTTACTCGGTAACCGCTTACTAAGCACAATTACCTTATAAATCATTCTTAATATACACTAGTACACGAGTAGGTTTTAAAATTTAAGACAGTGTTGATCCAACAAATGGACAGCTTCTCAAACACTGAGAAAAGTTTTCTTTTAATATTTACACGGTGCTTTTTCGGAACGTCGTTCGTCGTTCAGCACCTAAATTTTTGTACTCTGAAGACGCATTGTCACTGAGCGTTCATAGCGAGTTTTGGCGTTGTCGCGACCACGTGATCACACGCGTAGGTCAACATGGCGGTTCGCCATCCTCCTGCTTTGGTGGAGATGGTTCCAGCTCCACTTTTTCGTTTGCCACTTGCTCGCGGCGTGTTAACTCTGCTTCTCTCTCATTGAGGCGAGCTTCACGTCGTGCTAGTTCCGCTTCTCGCTCGTCCAGTAGGCGTGCACGTTCCACCAGCCTCGCTTCTGCATCTAACAACCTAGCCGCTAGTTCAGGCTCCGAAGGTGGTGGAGATGTAGATGAGGTGACATCGTCGACCGGCGGCGTGAGAGGCTTCAGAGTCACATTGGGTTGATAGTCACGCTCGAAGCTGGTACAATGCGCTACACGAACCACTCGTTCGGGATTTTGCAAGGTCGGCTCGCGCTTGCCCCAGGGCCGGAATGCGGAGAGCGTACGATATTGGAGGTGCCCATAATGCGGTAAAGCGTGGTTGTTGTCCAAGTAGATGGCGGCGTAGCCATAGTCATCGCTTCGCGCTTTTTTTGGGGGTGATTCTGGAGGCTCGGATTTGCACACCACCGTTTCCACCACCTGGAATAAAAAAAATGAATACTTAAGAAGTGTTTAAATCTACTACTATTGTTACACGCTACCATTTCTCTACGTTAAGAATGAATTCGTTGAGAAATCATAAAGTAGTACGTTTCCTATTATTGGCCCGCTCACGCCTCCTACAAACAATCTATGCTAAGATGTTTTGCGTAAATGTCCAGTAGATGTTGACCTTTTTTGATGTCAACTGTTATCAATTGGCAAATATCGCAAAACATAATTCCATCTAGATATATTAACTTTTCTTTATGCAGTTTGATATTGATATCTGAAATTGGGATTATTGGAACTAACGTCATATTGAATATGTTGATTATGTCACATAATGATTGTAGAATAATATTATTTAGTGGTTCAATGATTAAATCGTATGCATTGTTTAAAAATAAATCTTGTTACCATATCAACAGAAACGAATCCGTAAAACACATTTATCTTACGTAATGCAGGTGTGGCGTGGGAGGCAGACAACGCACGTCATCATGCCTTCTCAACCCCCCACAGGAGGGTGGGACGGTGGGGGTTTCTAGGTCGCGGCCGATCCCAGACGACCCCTAGACGCCAACCCCGCCGTAACCGATCGACGTCCGCCGTATGGTACGTGTGGCAGAAACTTTTGCGGATTAAAATGACTTGTTGAAGATATATCATCGGAATAAAGAGGTGATACTTTGAGCGATCTGTTATTAAAGTAAATCTTTGGATGCGTTCACACACGTTCGTTCACATTTTTGATCTTGAATGCAATAAAAACTAAATTCTAAAGTAAAAATTTTATTATGATGAAGTATTTAGTTTGAAAGTCTGAAAGCGAACGCAGAAACAACATGTTTGATTTCAGTAAATTGGTAATTATATCATAAGCAATTTTATTCTTAAAAGCATTGAAATCATCAAATTTGTTCAGTGAAGAAATAGGAAATAGGTATCATTTTAATGTTTACAATGTAAAGTAATTTCAACTACTAAAAATGAATGTTCCAATTATCATATTTACAATACTGCAGAAACCTTATCAATTACATAGGTACCTACTGCAATAAAGTTTGCCTTTGTTAACTTTATTTATAAAAATATATGCTACATATTTATCATGAAACTGCAATCTTGGCAGGCTCTTTGTAAAAAAAACAGAACCGATAAAAAAGTGATTCTGTTTATCATTTAAAAAGTTTCATTAATTTTATTTTGTTTTCAATTTTAAATTTGTAAAGATAATTGCAACTGTACTTCGGTGGCATAAACTTTGACACCATAAAACTTTATGGTGTCAAAGTTAAGATTCTGTTGTGGTGCAATTTTAATACGTGTTGATTGCGTTTTAATTTAAACTTTCAAGAACAGCTTTTTGAGACAGTTCCATTTAGTTGTATTGTATCATAAACAATCTATCCTCATTGATTCACCAAAATGCCATTATTTATATACATTTGGCGTTAGGTAGACAGTAGAAAGTGGCAAAAAGCATTATTTGAAACGCCACTGAGATGCCATTATTACGATAAATTTACCAGAATAAAGGCACTAGAGGTAGACGAAAAATATTCTTAGATTGGATTAAATTTATTATAATTATGATATCTGTATTAATTCTGCGTTCTGTATAGTTGATTATAATGACATGATATGGTATTTACGTCTTAACATTAGATTACCAATCACCAATGATTATATCAACGCAATTCGACATGTATTTGTTATACGTTTTTTACGAAATTTGTCTTTTCCGCCTATTCAGATAAAATATAGCGCAATAACTTCTTAATACGTTCTTATTTTTATGATGGATTAATTCATAATTTTATCTAAATTAATTTATAAACAGCTGTGAAAGTATTTTATACTTTAGTTTAAACAAAGATGAATCAATTTCCACACCGATCTTGATCAAAATTGACTGGGTAATGTACTTATTTATTGTTATAATTTTATGATCTATTTAAAAGTATTGCCTGTTCTATCGTGTGTATATCTTCTATTTTACGACTTCGTTTACGGAAAGTTTATTATGTCGATATTTATAAAAACAAAATGGAGATACAACGAACGCCGTTGTACTATTACGCTGTCTCATAACAAGTATAACAACCCACATACGTTTTTTTCATTCTGCAAAAACAGTGGCAATAGGATGGTAAATAATATGAATAACCCTTCTTTGGAGTCGGGCAAAAAGTAGAAGATGTCTGATCAATCTAAGTATCCTTCGTCCACCAAGCAACCAATATTTATATATTTTAGACCACCTCAAAAGGGAGAAAAGGATACCTAATACCATTCGCTTGCCTGTCTGTTTTGTTTATCACAGCTAATTTGACTTAAAAGACCTTTATAAAAAATGGATACTTTTCTTGTATGGCATAGAATTTCACAGATAAGGGATTGATTGTATTATTGGACATTAAACCTCTTATCTTTGAAATTCTAATTCCAAATAAGGTTAAGGAAAGACATGGAATTCTAACATGGCGTTACTTGTGACAAGGTTTTTGGTCATGGGCGCGTGTGTTGGACTAGCAATTGGCCAACTTTTTGTGTCATTTATGTATGAAGATTTAAGTATAATTAACATCCAGATATAGTCTGTGGTCTCTTTGTTAACACTGGTAGCACCAGGGGTGCATCAGAGGCAATGTCGTGTGATTGAACTCAGAATTTTCTTTGCTGATATTGAATACTCAATAGATCAATTCCTTTTTTTGGTTTATCATTAATAAAATACTTACCAAATCTTTACTTAAACTGTTTTAATCCTTAAGAGGATTAATTTTTAGTTTTGCAAATTAAGCGTGAACTTAAGTGCTCTGAATACAATTACTGCAGTCGGCAGAAATAAAATAGAAAATATGTACTCGTACCATTAAGTATTTAACATGAAACATGTATAATAAGGCTAAGGCTGCAAATTTACGAGTTTTCTGTTTATATAACCGTTAATTGAGGTTATCGTTGGAGCTCACAGTTATCGGTATAGCATAAGTAAATTTTTGATCGTCATAACATACTGAGTACCATCTTGTGTTTACTTAATCTATATTTAATAAAATATATTTAGCCTTTTTGCAAAAACAACGAGATAAGTCGAGGTCACAGAAAAAAAAAATGTTTTAGATTTTTACCTCGTGTGTTCATAAGTTTAAAGACGAAATAAAATTTATAAACACTAAGGGCCTGTATTAAAAACAAGGGCGATCATTTTGAATTAAATATATATTTAGTTGTTGATTATTATTAATGGTTACTGAAAATTTTAGAAATATAAGTTAATTATTAACAAACTTACGCAACTTTTATTTCGTCTCAAAATTTATGAACACACGATATGCAATGAAAAATAATATCGACGTCAATTACCTAAGGGTTTCTGAGTTCCTGCAGCTTTACCGTTTAGCTATTAATATAACTATCGTGTTTCGGCTTTCAAAGGTACAATGATCAATCCTCTTGGTGAAATTGCTCATTCGGGATTTTATTTTCAGCAACACTATGTATGTTCGGTTAGTCAAGTATGCGGTAGCACCATTGGCGCCCATTTCTGGACGTTCTGGTAATGTTATCTAGGTAATAGGTAATTTAAAAAGGCTATTTTATATTAATATTATATTAACAGTTTCCCGTAAATAACAGAATTAAATTTACTTAATTTGATGTAATGGCTTAAAGAGTTTTAGAAAAAAGAAATACAGATAAATTAAAGCCGAATTTTCTTATTTATAATTACAGTTTCCAAATAGCTCATTGTCATTCCGGATTATCTAATTACAATAACCGTGTAATCTCATTACCATTTATTGAAAATCTTTAAGACCCTATATCTCGTAAAATAAACATCTGATGGCTGTTCCATCAGCATTTACATAATAAAAAATTCCCCAGCTTTTAAGTAATGAATGAACGTTTTGGGGCACAATTTCTTTTCGTTCTCCAACACTGGCGATTTGCACAAAATGAAATTTTCACCGACAATTAATTAATCAAGACGCTATTTTACTAAAAATATCTAGCATCTAAGACAATCAATTAAAATACCATAGTAGTGCTATTATTACGTTAATATTAACAGATTCGAGGCCCGGTTAATGAAATCGTATCGTAAATATTTTGACAGCGCACGTAAGTAATGGCGCGAATACCACGCTTGCTATTCGCTACGTTTCCTCACCGCAATTAAAACTGGCTTGTTTACATCTAGATATGTAATGACATGTATATTCTTTGATTCAATTGGGAATACCCTAACTGATCAAGCATGTTTTAATTTTAAGCGTACATACAACGTGTAAGCATGTTCATCTTTTAATCAATAAAGTGCTTTGTAATGGAGAGTTATTTTATGAAAAATGTAGAAACTGTCTTTATAGTAAACTTTATAACAATGATGATTAATGTCTCAATAAATACATTGATAACTTAAAACTTAAATAAAATTTTCTCGTTATTTCTGATAAATTATAAAATATTTGAATACAGAATAAAAATATTTGTTACGAAAGTGGGTTACACGCATCGCCTCCTAAGGGGGTGGCCAGACGGCGCGGTTACACCCCGAACGAACAAGGTCAGGCAGCAGACAACGGTTGTCGACAAAGCATAATAGACCTTACAGTCTTTACCACGAAGAGTCCTATTCATGAAATCAACTGAAATTCTCCAATGAATTCTCCAATGAATTTTGAATCTTATCCCAATGGAAAACGATTCGAAATATAATATAATTCTACTTTACAAGGTTTCGTAGCAGAGTACTTGAACAATCAATGAATTTTAGCGGCGCGTCGTAATGAATTATGTATATAGGTAGTAAATATTCTGGGCAGTTTATACGTTTCTACAACGATCAGCTTTTTACCCACACCCACTACAACATCACGTATCGGTTTTCAACTCTTGAAACCGAAGATTATTAATTTTAACCTAATCTTATCAAACTTCAAATCTTTCAATCTTATCAACATATGGATATACATTTTATGTGTACT